CACAACTTACAGAAATCATCTTATGGCAGCTAAATCTACAGGAATTTAGATATCTTTAAAGAAGAGAATTGGTCTCTCTTTGGTTTGGCTCTGTTCAGGACCGCAACTGCAGAAGTAGGCTTGGTTATAGGAATCTAGTTCCATTTCTTCTCTTGCATCCCTCTAGCAAATGAATTTAGACACTCAGATTCACTTTATCTCTGTTTGCTATTAGTCACAGGTTAGCCAGTACTTAAAACACATCCAACCCAAACACCACTTCTTGCTCCAGGGAATACCTTCAAATAGTGGCATGGGATAAGTAAGCAGACCTGGCTCTTATTAAAGTACAGAAAGTGTGAAAAACACAATTTCTTAGTTATTTGTGTAGATGTTACACTTACTGTGAGGGTGGAAAACACTCAGCATTTCCAGTAGCTCCCTCTGCCCACAGTAGGATAGGTCCTGTGGGTCTGCCCAGAGTTTCACAGAAAACACAACGTGCTGTTTAATCATTTACAAAACTGACACCTAGGGGAAAAAAAAAAAGAAAAAAAAAAGAAGACTCAGTTTCAGAAAATCTAGAAGTTGAATAGCCAAACTCTTATTTTCTTCTGCAGTTTTCCTTGTCCAGCTCCACTTTACAAAAGATTTTTGAAGACTGTCCTACTGCCCTCTGTGGGCTTTATTGTAAAGTACCTTTAAATAACCCTTTGGGCATGTGTTGGGACATGACTCTCTCAGAAACTTTTGCTTCTCTCATCCTCATGTGCTGCAGCTGCTTATTAAAATGATATCTTAATTTGACAAGGCCAACTGTACACCCTCCCACCCCCCCATGTGGCTGCCAATGGAACAAGAAGCCTAAGAGAAGGCATCTGTAATGGCTACTTGGTCTCGCAAACCAGTGAGATATAAACTCACCTCCAAAGAAACATACAGAAATGGAAGAATTAATGATAAGCTTGGAAGGAAGATCCTGGTACATATGAGATCCTGCCTTAGTTTTGGCTGAGGTGCTTTGCTTCAGTCACCATTTTGTGGTGTTCAGGGGCTGGGCTGAGGGGTTTTGCCAGAGAATTGAGTGGATAATAAATATTGTTGATAACATTTATACATTAGAAACTCTTTGTGAAGCAGAAATGGTGTTTTCTGGCATTTCTCTACAATGGTCAGTTTTTAAAGAATGTAAAAATAACTGCTGCTTTTTAGCTTCAGCTGCTCCGTGTCCCTTGGCGATCTGGGGAATGAGATGCAGAACAGACAGTGCCTGGGGCTGTTCTTCTGCACCATTACTGTCCAGGGCATTAGCTCAGCTTCAGAGAAACTACAGAATTAAGAGAGTTTCAATTTGTTCTCATTTGTCCAATAACATGGCTAAATCTCATATTTATTTATAGTATCCACCAAATTAGAGAGATGTAAAATGTTTTTTTCTCAATAGCCTATTTGGATTTTAATTTGTAAGCTGCAATTATTGCAATGAATTTTTACCAGTGCCACCTTCAAGGAACTAGACCTGAGTCTGCTCAACTTGTCTGGTTCCATGCAGCACAGAAATGGGCATCAGAGAGTTATGGTTTTGGTCATGGTGCTTCTGGGCTTTACTTAAGTACTGCCAGTAGCCACTACACATCCTAGGGAAGTAACCTTCCTCTGATCTACATTGTAAGAGCCAAACCAGCATCCTTCCACGTGCTGGAGGCTGTTGAAAGTGGTTGTTTTACTCTGCTGCAGCAGAAACTCCCATTTACACCAAACCACCGAGGACCATGTACTTAACTTTTGAAAAATAGGCCTGTGGGCAACTGTCCCTCCGGTTAAATCTCCTGCCAACACAGTCCCGGCTTGGCAGAGTCCCCTGCTCGTACGTGTTCCTTCCCACCGGTGGGTTTCCACGCACACTCACTGCGCCAGGCGGAGGAAGGTAGCCGGGGCTGGAGCACCCTCTGCAGGGACCTTCCTCCCGTCACGGCGCCGGCAGCGGAGCCGCCTGCCCGGGAGGAGGTGTTCAGGGACACCTCCAGCCCACAGCGCTCCTCCGCACTGCCGAGATGGACGGAGCTAAAAGGGCAGAGGGATTGTGCTGTGCGAAGCCTCGGGTCAGGGAGTGTCAGCAGTGGGAGCTGCAAAACGCCTGCTCTGCTGGGAGAGGATGCGAAGGACATTCTTTGGGAAAGGGGAGCAGCATGATTATGGAATGCTAACCCAAGTGCTGCTTGGAATGAACCATCCTCTTTGCAGCAAGAAGGCATCTATAATTTTAAAGCTTTATTATTCTTTAAGAAAAACTTCTGTAATTAACAAAATAATTTATTATTACCATCCGACATTGAACTAAGTTGCAAGGCCTCCATTTGCTTTTGTGAAAGTTTTCCCTACCAAAAGCACTGTGATGGTTGTCCTATTTCCCAGCTCAAGGCCTCATACTCAAGCTTCCACTCAGCTTTCAAAAGTGCTGGAAATAAACAGAAATTCTGGCTTCCAGGGATTTCATTTCAGTGCTGCCTGTGACCATGCCATTGAGCAAGACTCCAGATTTGACAAACATTTGTTTTGAATATCATTGCTTACGGGCACTGGCAGAGGAGCACAGTCCCCTGCTCCAATAGCTTGCAATGTGTAGGGCAAACATTGTCTAAGATTTAGCTGACTGTCCACTAGTTGCATCAACCTCTTGTAGTCCTATAATAAACTAAAAGCAACAAAATAGTGAAGCTTAATACCATCTTTTAAAGGTGGTATGTTCAGGATTATACGTCACAGCTTGCTAGAAGCAGAGTTGTGGTACGCAGTTTACTTGGGGAAGGAATGCTCTGTAACTGCAGCACTTGGCTGTCATCTCTGAGATGAAACTGAAGCATTAAATTTGCTGTAAACAAGGAAGGAACTCTATTTGGTATTTGGTTTGCATTCCTGAGCTTGCTGCATGAAAAGTGAAGGTAGAGAAGGGGTTTTTTTGTCAAAAGAGTGTTAAAAGAATTAGCCTGTCTTGGATACATCAATATCCACCTATGAATATGGCACCTATACTTTTGTCACTTCAATAGGTGTACAAAACAGCTCAGAAAATAAAGTCTTTCTTTTCGTTTTTGCAATTCTCAGTGGCTTGCTCTGTGCACATTTCAACACCATCACTTCTTGCACTTAGGGAACACAGACCCTCTTAGTCCTTTTTTCCATTTGAATTGGAAAAGCAGCTCAAAGAACTGGTAGCTCAAACAACTACCTCAGCAATATAACAGCACATGATATGTTTCTTCTCAATCCGATGCGTGCCTGACCCATGATTGCAAGGGAAGCTCTTTATCTCATTTTAAAAATCAAGTTTCCACTTTCCAAGGCATAAGAAGGTGAAAACAACTGAACCATGAACAATAGTTCAAGATTTATTTATTGTTTTATATTATGAATCTAGGTTCCATTCCTTTTAATGTTTATATTTTGAAATAGTGGCTCTTTCTGAAGCCAGTGCATAAGCTGAGTTACTTTTGAGAATAGTCTACTGCTGTCTGGCTAAGTTATGGCCCTCAAGTATAACAGGCTGCAGCCAAGCTCTCAGGATTCTTTGAAAAGCTTTTTAAAAAGACTGTTCCATGCTGCCTTTAATCTATTTATATTTATTATTAAACTTCTATCATTAGTGGCTCTATTCATTGTTGCCCTGGTCTTCGTGTGCTATCCCATACAATCAATGTAAAAGTCCTTATATAATTAAGTCTGTACTTGTAGAACATAGAGTGCCATTCCCATGGGAAAAAAAAAAAAACAAACCAAAAACACAACAGGAAAGTAAAGGCCCATCTTTCTTATGGGCATGTAGAAATACAACCTCTAGCTAAGCAGCCCACTGGAAAAAAATCCAAACTACTCTCTGATCATAAGTTACTAAGAAAGGTAGTTGTCATTTTTAAAGCTGTCTTGCCACTTTTTTTTTTTAATTTCTCCCCCTAAACAGACAAGTATTTGAAGTATTTCACAAAAAGTAACGAAGATCAAGATTTTTGTTTCCATTTCACAGACTGAGAAATGGAATAATAGTGGTCGTGAATGATTTATTAAAATCCAGAGTGAAGTTAATAAGAGTGGGATAAAAAACCTACAGTGCTGCAATGAAGTAGATCTTTTGATCTAAATAGAAAATTGAGAACTTTGTATGTGCTTCGCCACCTATACATCGGCCACAGGTGACACAGGATATGGATACACTGGGTTTCATTCCGGTCTTCTCATAAATTATTGTTTTTATGTTTGTACTTGCTGCCTTAAAGCTCATTCCTTATCCTGCCAGGCTTGGGTCTGGACTGAAATTTCCAAACCGATGGGCCACGGTTCTACTAGCTCTGTCCTGCAGTGTGGCTTGAGGCATCTTCATGGCTGATGCAGCAAGACAGCTCTGTGAAGTCGAGTTTTGCAATTATAGATCCCTGCAGGGAATTTGAGCTGGTGGTGTAGAGGGAAAGTCAGAAATCCTGCATTCGCTCTCTGCAGTCCGAGGACGGGGGGTACTCGGAAGGATTGGAAACCAGCAGCTGACTGATGGTGGGGTGTAAACACAGGAGCGAACTGGTGTAGTGCCTGGTCCCTCCGGACGGCCAGCCTGGAAGCACAAGTCCTTCACTAGTGTCCAGTGGTCGCAGGCAGTGACCCGTCCCCTTGCCTGTCCCCGAGTCCCGCCCGAGTGCCCCGGCGGGCAGCGGGCACAGCCGCGGGCAGGAGCTGCCGCCGCACCCCCGCAGCTGTCGCCGACCGGGCCCGCGCCCCCCAACCCCGCCGCCAGTGACCCGGGCCCGGCGGGAGCGGGATCGGCATTCGAGGCTGGAGGGGCCTTGCCCGTCGGCCCCGCTTCCCAGGGCTCCGCCTCGCCGGGGCCGGGGTGACACGGGCGAAGCCGTGCCGGGCCGTGCCTGGCAGCGCCGGGCGGGGCGGGCCGGGGCGGGGCCGGGGCGGGGCGGCCGTGGCGCGGCTGTGGCTCGGCACGGCCCGGCACGGGGGGTGCGGCACGACCCGGCCCAGCACAGCACGGTGCTGCCTCCCGCCGGGCCGCGCCAGGCGCAGGGAGAGAGGGAGGGAGAGAGGCAGGGAAGAAAGGAAGGAGGCAGGGACGGAGGGACCCCACGGCGCCGCTCGGAGCCCGGCCCGACCCCGGGAGCGCGACAAGTGCCTGGCACGGGATAAAGTTATCCCGGAATAAGGCTGCACGCATGTGCGTCACCCCGGATGTGAACATGCCGGCCCGGCTCCCCGCTAGCTCGCTCCGCCTGGCTCCAGCGGATGGGCTGAGCCGAGCCGTGCCGAGTCGAGCCGTGCCAAGCCGTGCCCGCGTCCCTGCAGCCCGATAGGGGCTGGGGGAGGCCGGGTCCCCCGGCGCCCTCGAGGGCCGAGGTGCGAGAGCCCCTCCCGGCGGGGCAGGGGCAGGTGCGCAGCCCGGGGCGAGCGGCGGGCGGGCCCCCGGGAGCGATGGATTTTCGGGGGAAGAAGTACGAGCGCGGCAGTAACTGGTCGGACCCCGAGGTGGTGGAGCTGCTGCAGCTCTGGGCCGACGAGTCGGTGCAGATAGAGTTGGAGAGCTGCTTGCGCAACCAGCACGTCTTCAACCGCATCGCCGAGGTGCTGCGGGAGAAGGGCATCCACCGGACGGGCGACCAGTGCCGGGAGAAGATCAAGAAGATGAAGCTGGAGTACCGGCGGATCAAGGACAATAGCAAGGCCCCGCGGGGCGGGCGGACGTGGAAGTTCTACGAGGTGATGGACCGGGTGCTGACCAGCCGGCCGGCCCTGGCCTATGGGTCCCTGAGCGGCAGCATGATGGCTCAGCAGGTGTTGCAGGGCAGCATGGTGGAGAGCTACCACCACCAGTTCGCCTCCTCGGCCCTGCCTTTTGGGCACTCCCAGCACCCTGAACTGATGGAAATCAAATGTGAGGAGGTGAACTCTGATGACCACAGCTTGACCCCAGAGCCCCCACAAGCCATGTCTTACCAGCAGGGCTCCCCTGAAGAACAGGAGATGGAGAGAGCCTTCTTGGAGAGGGCCCAAAACGACTCTCCCATCTCCAGGGTGGAGATTCCCATTGAAACCAATGTTTCACCTTCAGGTAGGGATAGCCTTTTACATTCCAGCATAAGGTTTCTGCCCATTTTCCCAGAAAGAGATATTTTTTTCCTGGTGCAGAGGTAGACACCTGGTTGGCACACTGACATTTGGATCCTTGTTTTCCTACGTCCCAAAAAGCTTTAAAGTAGAAGGCTGGTATCTGCATTCATAGTCTTCTGGCCATTCCTAAAATGTATCTTGCTGCAGGTAAATAAAATCTAGAATTACTGAACTAGGCTAAATACTGTGTATGAAATCCAAAGGGCTGGAATGTCAGCCATAAGCTGGGCTAGGTGTTTGTGCTGGATTTTTGCATATAGTGCTGGCAGTGCTTACCTTACTGAAAAAAAAAACCCAATTGCATGCTTTTTGGTATAATTTGGACATAACCAGGGCTGTCTGCAGTCCTCATGCTGAATTGTATCAGGAGACCCTCTTCTGCCATGGTTGCATTATAAACCTGCAGGTGAAACTTTCCTTGCGTTCTTTTAAAATGTATTCCAGATCTAATATTTTAGGATATTCAACAATGAAGAATACTTGGGAATAATTATTGTCTGGCTTTCTAAGCTATTTAGTGGGACTTGTAAAGAAGTCACGGGCAGAAACAGCATATTTGCTTATAGAAGATTAGACTTGTGCACTGACAGTAGAGTTGGCCATTGCTTAGCTGTCAGGAAGGGTACAGTCTGGAAATCCTGGGGATTTCAAACCGGTCTAGAACAGGCTGATGGAAGAGCACGACATGTTGGAGAAGAAGAGAGATGATAACCAGTGTGAGATTAATGTCTGAGATCAGGAAGAAATGCCATGTCCTCTTTGCTGTGGTGATTGCATAGTTAGTCCAGTGGAGGGAACTGGTGATCATTCAGGTTAATACAGAGGTCGAGTATGGGGCTGGGGCTAGCACCATAGTGGTGTGCCCAATGTGTGCTATTAAAAAACAAACTTCAAAAAAATTCGCAAACCTCAAGATGTACCTGACAGGTTTTACTTTGTTTTTTTTTCTGTAAACCCTGTAGTAGACCAAAAGGCATTCCAAGGACGGGCAGGGGAAGGCAGCAAAGCATGTCTATGCCACTTTGTTTGCTGCGCATTTACTTTTTCTTCCTTGCTTTTATGTATTCACAGGTTTCAGTGAGCCCAACATGGCAAACTCATCACGGATCCAAAATGTTGTTCCCCGGCCTGGCTTCTCTGCCTTGCATCGACTGAGAAAAAAGCGGAAAGGCCAGCGTGTGAGAGACCCACTTGATGATCTCTTGTTGAAGACTCTGACATCTCAGCGGGCCATGGAAGAGCGTTTTTTGCAGATGGAGGAACGCCGATTTCAGCGAGATTTGGATGTAGAGGAGCGTCGAATGCAACTGGAGCAGCGACGGTTTGAACTGGAGCGGGAGCATGAGTTTCGCATGTTCAATGTCTTTGCTCAAATGCTCAGCATCCTAAAGCAGAGCCATAGCAGCTCCTCCTCCTCTGTTGCCATGCCTCGGAGCTTGGACTTCAGCCAGGCATTGTCCGAAATGGAGGGAATGGGAGGAGGAGGGGGCAACCTGCAAGAGATGAGGTTTCGTCCACTTACCAAGAGGAGGGTTGACACGCATGGCTTCTGTAACCCCAACGGCTTCCAGAGAAGCCCCTATCTCTCTGCTCGTGGCAACTTTGCCAACATGTTTCAGGGCTCCACTGAGGAAGGGTACAAAGCTTATCATGCTGACAAGTATGATGAAGACAAGAACCCCAATGTGAGTAAAAAGCTCAAAGTGTTTTCCTGGCTTTCTTGCTAGGGAAAAAACCACTTTCTTAGAGGTTTGCTGACAGATATGCCAGAAGTGTGGGGGGTTTTTTGATCTCACTAATACAAGGTGGACCAAACTGTTTGTTTGAGGAAAAGAAATTAGAAGTAGTTTTGCAGATCATCTAGATATCAAAGATGAATGCTGTGTTCAGCTCAGGTTTGCACACTCTGATTTCCCTATTGGGGTAATAATACCGGTAGTAGACTTGAAAGATGTAAGAAATCTATAGGAACAGAGCTCATGTTCCTCCTTGCACTGCATCACCTCTATTACCCAATGAAGACCATCTCTGATTATCTAATTACATCTGATTATTGCAGGTGATGGGTGCAGGAGATACAACTGCTAGGTAGTAGACTTTTTTTTAAATTACTTTTAATAACACTCGGCACTTTTTCTGCCTGCTTATGCTTAGCTGTTCAGTTTTAAGTAGCTCATCATAGCCCTCTTGTGGCACAAAGGCTGTGTGTTAATACTTCATGGCAAATTATTACCGAGTAACAAGTATAGTAAATATAAATAACGATTTATATGTGGATTACTTTAAAATAGATCTTTCATTCAGATACTGAACTGCTTGAAACTTTAAAAATATTTTATTATTAGTCCTGACTTAGTCGCCCTGTGTTGGGAGGTGAAAACTAGTTTTTAAGCTAGAAAAACACGGGCAAGTTTTTATTACAAGGTGTGTTATGAGGCACAAGCTGCCACTTCTACCAACTGCTGTCTATGTAGGAAGTAGCTTTTTAAACAAATACTTGAAGTTGGACTTGTACTTTAATAACATTAGAAGCATACAGTTACATAGATTTTCTTTCACATTTTTAAAATTTATTCACCCAACCTCTTTCAATAATGAAAATGTGCTAGTAGATTTGAACTCTTCAAGATCTAATGCCATGCTATATATGGCCAAATCGTACATGGACCTGTAGGGTCATCTCTCCAGAGGGGAAAATTCAGTGTTATAACCACTTTTCATGACTACTTGTTTATGTGGTTTCTAAGCAAATCAGTGATGTGGAATGGTAAGGTCTGATACACAAATGCTTTTAAGTAAAGAAACGTGTCCAAAACATTGTTTAAAACAGCTGCAGAAGGCTAAACCTCATTTTTTTTCAAAGTTGTTTTAGGGTTTCTTTTTTTAGTTACATATACCAGTAAGTGAATTCAAGATTAAGTTAAACATATTTTGTAAATAAGTATAAACCATTAGTACATATTCATTTACAGACTGTTTATTAGCTCAGAAGCTGAGTGCTTGGGATATATATGGAAACACACACACATAGACGCGTGTCTCGAGTTATATATGGTGAAGTTTATGTCAACTGTATTTTGATTTTTTCTTGGTAAGCTTTTTGGAAGAAATTTAGTGAAGTGATAGCTAAGGTGATGTACACAGGTTTTATGTGTCTATAAACAATACACTGTTTGTCTTTCTAGGGTATAATAAACTTTGGCACCAGTGAGAATAAACTCTGCTTTGACCTGATGTCTAAGCGGGTAAGTTCTGTTCCAAAAAGAAACACTGAATTTGCTCTATATTTTGCTCCTCAATGCTTGCACTTTCCTAGAGTTACTGCTGTTGCTCAGGCTTCTCTGGTAGAGTTTTTCATTGTGAATTTCTTATTTGTTGGAAGTCACTTTTGAATCCATTCCGTTATTTTTCCAGGAGGATAGGAACATGGGTGTTTTTCTCTTCCTCTTTATGATGGGTTTGCCTTTGGGGATGTACTTGGTTCAGAAAATGAAATGAAAGTAGGATTCATTTTATTTTCCTCTGCTGACAGTTGATGATTTAATACAGATGCTTTGAAATTAGTTTTGAACTCTATTTAATTTCAAGGATCTTCACATCTGTCCATTATGAGGTCACACAATTTGGATAAACGGTTCTGAGCTCACCTGAAATGTGCAAGGGTGGCAGCAGTGAAATCCCTCAAAATCAGACTGGGTCAGCTGCTACCTGCTCACTTTGTTCAGTTCCACCAGGCCGAGGAATGAAACACACAGCACAACTGAAAAAGTAGAAAAAGCCAAAATGAAGGAATTGTAGAGGAATGTTTCTGGATTTCCATTAAAATCACTGCCCAGGTGGCAGCCTTCAAGGTGGGCAGGTGGTACTTTCTCTTGCCTGTAGTTGTCTGTGGGGTGGGAAGTTGACTCAGGGTTGGACACTCAGTCTTTACATTTTGAAGTTCATGGTTGCTCCCATTCCACCAGTTCCCACCTTCAAAATGTTCCTTGTTTTATTTCTGCCTGCCACTCCACTGACTCGGGGGGAAATGCTACCCCACCACTCCGCCTTCCAGCTAAAAGAACAGGTAAGGCAGAGCTGCTGCCTGCACGAAAATGGTACCTTCTAGGCTGCATAGGTGGTACCTTCCTTCACTGTCCTTTCCCCTTTAAACTAACACCAAGCCTGCAGTAACTAGTGCAGAGCCAGACAGTAGTCAGCTACATCCTAATTAGCCTTTCTTGAAAATGAGTTGAGACTTCAACAATAGTGTTCAAGCTTGTGGCAACAAGTTGAACAAAGATACTGTTGCCAGCTTCTCAGTCATAGCAGCCTGGAGTTACAGTATGGATTCACTGAATGCAGCACCAGCTGGGATTGTAGGCAAATAATTTTTTGCTGGGTGGGACAATAAATACTTAACTTTGCCACTGAATAATGTATCTGATTTCCGTCTTCAACTTCTGACTCTTAAATTAGAGAATATTTTGTGGTGTGTGAGATCTCAGATGGTCTTCCTTTCAGTTAGCCCATCTGGTTTCCTTAGCCCTTAACACATTTTTTTTAAGAGTTCTCCTCTTATTATTGCATAGTAATTTTTCACCAAGTCTGCTGATATGTTTTATATAGCATTCTCTAGATTAAGTTTAAGAGAGAGATCTGAGGCACAGTTCTGTGCTGTGTCGGCTCCAAGAACATCTACAGCTCAGTAAAGGAACTTTAATCCTACAATATCAGGGTATAATTCTGCATGGGATAAGGACAGTGCCTTTAAACTCCAGAGCTTTGCACCAGATATTAGAACACCTGTACAAAATGTTGTGGTTTTGTTATCATGTGTGAAATTTTCACACTGCATGTTGAATTTTCCTCCACCCTTGCACTATCACCTACTTAAGTCCCCTCCACCTTTACTTTTTTTTAATATTAACTCATAGATTTGGTTGCCGTTAAATATTTGGAAGGTACATTGTACAGGATACTTGTTTATTCCCTTTTTGTTTATCTAAAATGTCCTATTCTCTTTATCTGTATCAATGCTGTGCTTTCCTTTGCAACTTCACAGAACTGGATTATGTGAAACCTTGATATTTATAAACTTGAAAATATTTAGGTAAAAGCAGTGTACGTACTTGATCTAAATATAAACATTAAAAAGGACTCCACAGTTCAAGTGAACCTGTCTTTGAGAGCAAAATGAACTCCTCATAAGGAAAAAACTGCCTGCCCAGGGGAAGAATTATCAAGAAGATAATTTCATTTTTCTTCTGTCTTTTGAAAGCTCACGATATACTTCAACACTTACCAAAACTGATCAGAATTATAGAACTGAAGGAGCTGCAGTAACTTGGAACTGAGACATTAATGAAAGCTATTCATTAAAAAGAAATTAATGAAGAATTAACATATTGAAAGTTTATCAAAGAAAATATGTATTTGACTGTGATTCAAATTCCTTTCTAGCTACTTCTGACAGTCTAGACCTGAGCTTTTACAACTGGGACTTGTCTTTCGAGTTGAAAGCTGTTGTCCTCAGAGCTTGGGCAAAACACTCTTGGGGTTTCTTCATTTGCTGAGAAAGTCTTCTGCAGGCATCTCTGTTATGGGCATCACGTGTGTTGCCTGTTCTGTATCCCTTTTTGTAGATCTCTGTGCAGTGAAGTTTTGGCTGCAACAACTTAGCAGAAGCCCATACTTCATATAACCTAAAGTTATCACTGATCAGTTTACTGGTCCTTTCTTCTCCTACGTCCATTAATTTTGATGGTCACTGGCTTTCCCAATCCAGTTTTACAACTGTTGAAGTTGCACGGGTGTGTGTCTATGCGGGTGTGTGTCTATGCAGGTGTGTGCCTGTACATGGATCCCATCTATCTGCATGTTTCCCTTAGCAGTGAATGTGCTTTTAATGGTTCTTCTCATTGCTTCCAGCTGACACAGAGTGATATGGATCTGATGGAACCTTCATTGCTTCAGTATCCTGACTGGAAGGGACATCTGTTGTAAGTCTTTTCTGTAATGCTTCTCTTTTTGACTACTTGTTTAATAAGCAGAGTGGATGAAGACAAAGCGCTTATGCTACATTCGGTAGTTAAAACTTTTCTAGGTCATTTAATCATCTTTTTCTTTGCAAAACTGTAAATTAGCTGTCCTACCAGCTAATCCAATCAAAAGCTCTTTTATGGAGAGAAAGTGCAAGTTTTCTAAATAAAACACAGTTTAAAAGCACTGCATACATTAACAAATTGGGTAACTCCAGGCAGTTCTTTGAAACATAGTGAATACTTGGGGATGGTAATCCTTCTCTTCTGTGCATGATTAAAGCTCACTAGAAATGCCAGCACCATTATCGACATTATCACCATTATCCGTGACCTCTGCTGCGTGTAAAAATCCTGTCTGTTGCATGGGTCTATCCTGGTTTTTAGCATTTCCATCACACTTTACTGTGCCCTGACTTTATTTTCCTAAGATGTGAACCTAGCTTGGAAGCCCAGCCTCTTGGAGAACAAGCTGAATCGATATTTGCTTTTGTGTATTTTTCAGTTTACGTGAGGAAGTGGCTCGATTTTTGACCTATTACTGCAAGGCCCCTGCACCTCTTAAAGCAGAGAATGTAAGTAACCCGGTGTTCATTGGTGTATATTCTAATGTACTGCCATTTGTTGGTAATCAGTTTCAACTTCTGGTTTTTTAAACAAATGATTTGGTAAGAATGCAGCCTTTTATCATGTAAATGGGAGTGATTCTTCATTTCAGTAGCTTTTGACGCACACTTCCATTTCAGTAGCTTTTGATGCACACTTCAGCCAAAACATTTCAGGTCTACTGTATATTTGCCTCATACTTTTCTTTTGTGTGCCAATGCCTCCTGCCAGCGCTCTCGGTGGGGCTTTATGTTTTCATCTCCTTATTTAGCTCAGGGTCCTACTATGCCTGTATTCCTCACTCAAAGAGTGCCCGTTGTTTCAGTTGAGTTTAATTTCATCCCATTCTGCTCTTATACCTCAAGACAAAGATTTGTAGTTGAACCAAGAGTTAGTTTAGCCTGTAAAATAGACCTTTTCAAACTTCATGGCAGTGTTGTAAGGAAGGGATCAAGACCTGAGTCTCTGCAGAACTTACTGAGACTTGGGAGAGATACAGGTGCCTGTAGGGATCAGGGAGTCCCTACAGTGTTCAGGGCAACAGGAACTGGTGCAGCCACTGCTTTTCTGACTGCAGTAATTCAGCAGAATCCCATTCTTCTCGTGAACTGAAGTTACTACTGGTCAGTTTGCCAATCACTGCCTCTCCAAGGCACCTGATTCTCCCTGCTACTTGGAATGAAACTCACGGTGCCTGTGAGCTTTTGTCTTCCAGAAGCAGGAGTCAAACCTGCTCCTTTACGAGACCTATTTCCACTTTTGCACAAATTCGTTAGGAGGTCAGAGCTGTTATTACCACAAGGAGACGATATCACATATTAGCTGTTGAGAAGTAGTTTGCCTTCATAGCAGTTCAGAACTGCTCCCCAGTTTTTCCCTATTCTTTTTCTAAATTGCTTGTTAGAATCAATAATGGCACCAGAACAAAGTGTCTGTGAAGCAAAAAACAGGATTAAAGTTATTTCTGGCAGAAGTGGGATTTCAGCAGAAAAATTCTACTAGACAACTAGGGAGAAAATTTATTTCAGTGATATTGTCAGGAATTATTATAGTGTTGTCTTTCTATGTACGGATTTATCACTATGTTCTCTCTTTCTTTTGTAGGTGATTGTTTTAAATGGTTGTGGCTCTTTATTTTCTGCATTAGCTACAGTCCTTTGTGATCCAGGGGGTAAGTGGATGGTTGGAACATGTTTTTGGTTTGGTTTGGGGTTTTGCTGGGAAATAAAATACTGTGTTACTTCATTTAAATATTGTTTGACAGAAGTGAAGTAGTGCTATTGCCATTTGCCTTCTTCAAAGTTGTTGTTTCCTGCAAGACTGTGCTGTGAAAATCTTCATCTCCATGGTCTGCTGATGTCATGCACTTACACTTGGTGTCTGCCCGGTCTGCCTTCACTATGTTTTAGTTTGCTAGACTAAATATGGGCTATACTCATGTTTACCTGGGTTCTTGCAGAAGAATAAAGAATTAATGTAAAAATAAAGTGAAGGCAAAGGCAGTAACACTGCAGTGGTTCCAGAGGGCTCAGCTGTAAAAAAGCTTTCATGTTTAGCTGAAGCACAGTAGAAGAGAGAAGAATTGTGACCTGTTGATAAGCAATTTTGTTTTTTCGGTTGCAGAAGCTGTTCTGATTGCTACTCCCTTTTACGGTGGTATTACCCAGAGTATCTTCCTCTATGGTAATGTCAAGCTGGTGTATGTCTGTTTAGACAGTAAGGTAAGATCTGAGGAATACCAGCGTCTGTAGTGAAATTGATACTGGGAAGTGGTGAGCTTTGGGAACCTCTGGAAGCCATTCTCAGAACAAGGATACACTGCAGCCAGCGGACATTTTCCCAGTTTATTACTGGGAAACTGGGCACATAATTTGCAAGAAAGTAATTTGAGACTACAAATCTGGATTCTAGTTCTGTCCTTTTCTTGTATCTTACTCCCAATAACAGCCCTTGAAAGGAAAAAAATGACCATTTTGAACCTTGGAGAGAGAAGTGTGTCTGTCCTACTAAAGATGGTCCCAGGGTGGAAGAGCAGATGGAGATCTTGCATTGTTTTAGTTATTCAAAGATAGCCAGAGAATTCTGTTTGTGGCCAGCCTATGATGGCCATTTCTTTGGTTCTATTTATGTATTTATTATCTCTGTAGTATAAAAGGATAAGAAGATGGTTGCTAGGTCATTATTGTTGGGGTTTTTTTCTTTCAGGAAACATTTCTCAGGGAATTGGCTGAGGGCAGTCTCTATTGAAATAACTTGGCCTTTTTTATCTCTTTTATGTCTTTCAGATTACTGGAACAAACACTCGGCCTTTTCAGCTTACAGTGGAAAAACTGGAAAAAGCTTTGCAGGATGCCCAGGCAGAGGTGAGTTTAGCTGAGCTTCACATTACTACCTCAGTCTACAATATGCTGGAGGCATGATGTCCCAGAAGTGGCCTAAAGATCAAAACACTTTCAAAACCTATCACCTGGCTTTCTGGTTGTCCTTTGAAGACCTCCTGAGATTAGATTGCTTGCAAACTCGGCGGCAGTCTTAGGGGGACTCCCTCAGTGTCATGTCTGTCCAATTTTGGTCACAGCAGAAAGGATAAACTAGGAGTACCAGACTATTCACAAAGCACTGGAACCCATTCATATCACCAAAAAAAAAAGTACTTGGGCATGCACTAAAATTTGGGACTACCCGGGGTTTCTCCTTCGAGGCAATCCAGCTGAGTTACTCCAAAACTGACTGCTCTACACAGCCACAGCAGTGCAAATGAATCCACTAAGAATGCTGAGAGTTTTTGCAGGAGAGAGAGAGGTACAAATCTAGATGACAAAATGCAGATGAATATCACTTTTCTGAAGAGTGAATCTCTAAGTTTTGACATTGTCGTAAGTCCTAAAAATGTTTAGCCACATCTTTGGATCATAACTGGCTCTGACATCTCCAGCCAAGTGTGCTCTAAATGAGTAACTTTGCATCCACATAACTCAGATTCTCATCTTTCTTGCCACATTCATGGGCAATCTTCAGTAATTTATTACTTCCCGCTTACTGATACAGCTCAGAGAAAGTGCTCCCATGCTGAGAACATGTGAGAGCATCTTTCTCGTTAATTGGTTGACCAGATGGCAGTGATTGTGGCAACTCCCTCTTTTAAAAATCATAGATTCATTCTATAATATTTTCCTCACTTCACTTCGTTATATAATTATTTAAAAAAATCTTGATTTGTGGCTAAAAGTTTTCTCATACAAATCTAACCTTTGAGGTGAAAAATCATGGTGGAAGCTTAGAGGGAATCTTCTGTCACACTCACTGCTCAAGTAGAGGGACTGAAAATTTATCCCATGATGGGGACTCTTAATACTGTGTTATTTGTACTCTGCAGGGTATCACTGTAAGGGCCTTAATTCTTCTGAATCCCCAAAATCCCCTTGGGGACATCTACTCCTTGTCAGAGCTACGGGATTACCTGGAGTTTGCAAAAAGGTATGTCAGTTTGGAAGGCTGAGGCATCCTGAGTCAGATAGAGCTTCCAGAACGTGGTGTGCTACTTGCTGTGAATATCTCTCACGTCAGGCAAACTGTCTATTCTTCACACACAGTAGTGGACTTAAGACAGGAGAGGGGAGTGCTGGGAACATGGACCATGCAGTCATCTGGGGTGGTAAAGCAACTTTCATCAAGGAATGCAAGTTTTATTTTTCAGTAATCCTAGCAAACATCGTAGTGCTGTACTTCCCTGGTAGAAAGCTGAGTTCTTTTCTTTTCAGTTTCTCTGTATCTGTAAAGACAAAGGAGTATATGAATATGGGTTCCCAGCTTCATCATGGATCATAATACTCTCTGAGATTCTGAATCTGTCAGATGCTGAGTGGATGATGATACAACTTCTTCTAGATGGATAGTACATACAGGAATTAATTTTCACTAGTGCGTTGAAAATTATTGGATTTTCGTCTTGTTATATGGTTGCAGTGGGTGACAGTTAAGTGGATATACCTCAAATCACTTCGATGTACATATAATAGACCTGAATTAAGAAAAACTGCTTTACTTTGCAAAATTTGGCATCCCCTCTTCCTTATTTAAAGCAAGTATTTGCAGGCCTGAATTTATCCCTGCTTCTAAACGTGAAGCAGCCTTCTTTAGTAATCTCCCTTTTGTCCTTTTGCAGACATGAATTGCATGTGATAGTAGATGAGATCTACATGCTGTCAGTTTTTGATGAATCAGCCACGTTTCACAGTATCCTAAGCATGGACAGGTAAAATCAGCTCCTACTTCCCTGGCCATCTTCCAGTGACAGTTCAACATGATGCCTTGCTGAGAACTTGTGACTGGAAGTTAAGTCATGAGCAAGCAAATTCTGAATCCATCTTATACTGATTTCTTTCTTTTTTTTTTTCTTTTCTTTGTAATTTCTGAATGGCAAATGCATTTTGTCAAGTGCAATCTAGCAAGTAAAAAATGACAGCTTTCTGTTGTGGTACACTTTTCAATGTATGCTTCAATATTTGGTTGTGGCAGTCCCCAAAACTAGAAACAGATGTTTCATTTGTCAAAGGTGCTGAGGCTTTTCTTCCTACCTGAACATTGTAATCTCTTTACCACGTTTCTGTTAATGCCTGGAAAAACTTTCTTTTGCTGTTTATTTCCTTTTTTTTAATAGAGTAGTCACAGATCACAGTCTGGTATTACAGACTTGATAAAAGCTTTTATTAGGTATTTTTTAATGAGATGAAAATCTTTTCAAATCTTTTTAAAATATGGTGGGTGGGGTTGTTGTGGAGGTGGGCTTTTTGTTTGTTTGTTTGCTAAATTTCTAGTCTTTACCAGTGGTGCTATCTTTCTTTTTGCGCACAGTTGCAAGGAAATAAAATATTCTTTGTTAGGTGTTAGCACAGAGTTGCTAGGTTTGATGTAAAAGAAAATGACTTTTGATTCTTGGAATATGCATTGGCACAGGCCTGATTTCTAGCATTATATGTACAAGCTTCATATGTTCAGGAAATCTGTGTATAAAATGTATCACTGATATGCATCTGTATATCTGAAATATTTAAAAATTCTGTCTAAAACTACTTCTAGGGAGTTCCTAGCTTCTAAAGTTATTTGCATTTGAATTTTCCCTACTTGACTAATGTTCCTGGTGCACTATCAGTGTGTAATGCTGCCTCTCTGTTTCTGCAATGCTGCACTGGTGATCCAAAAGCTTCAGCACCTATGACACTAACTGCCCATCTGCATCCTTCTACATACAGATTGCCTGATCCACAGCGGACTCATGTGATGTGGGGAATAACCAAGGTGAGTGCTGGTTGCTTTTGTGCTGTGGCTTTGTGGCTGGTGGGGTTGGTCTGGGGTCCTCAGGTTCTCATGCTGAAAAGAGCAAGGTAGTAGTAATAGGATCCCAGCCTTCCTGTGTAATAAAGTAGTCTCTCTGCATCTTCTCCAGGATTTTGCTGTTTCTGGGATTCGTTTTGGTACTTTATATACAGAGAACCAAGACGTTGCTAACGCAGTGGCTTCTTTGTGTTATTTCCATGGGGTTTGTGGACCTATCCAGCACAAGGTTGCGCAGCTGCTTAAAGACAGAGGTGAGTCAGTAGTAGCTCCATGTAAAATCCTCTGCCATTCTGTGTGTCTTGGTACCTGGAGGATTCCCTCCCCTCGGTTTCTTAAGCAGTCTCCCATTTGTACAGCTTAACTGACAGTCTTCTGTTACCCTGAAACTGCCCATGCAACACAAGGCTGACAGCTCTACATAAAAGGATCATTTCTGCAGAGCTTCTGATCAGCAGACTTAGAGGAGCAGCTTGGAAGAAGTGTGGTAGCTATTTGTACAGAAATAGCCAGTGTTGTGTAGAACCACACCTTGTGGGACGAGGTAAATGGAAGTCGATTTCTATCTCCACCCAGGACAGAATGCTAAGAGTCTACACCAACTAAGAGCTATGAATGTAGGGAAACTTAGGAAGGTCAAGAAGATACTCTTCTGCACAGACATGAAACTGCTAAGTAGTTCTTGCCTGTCTTTTTGCTATTTGAGTAAACAGAAAACAAAAGAAGGAGGTGAGGGTTGAAATGGAAAAAGACACAGAGTGTTTTGGAAACTTGAACAGATCAGAATACTTTCTCAGTTTGCGATTCTTTTCTTTATCTTCTCCTTCTGGTCAGACTGGATCAACCAGGTGTACCTGAGGGCCAACCATGCCCGCCTAAAAGCTGCCCATACGTATGTGACAGATGAGCTGAAGACACTTGGGGTTCCTTTTCTCAACCGCAATGCAGGCTTCTTTGTCTGGATTGATTTCCGAAAGGTTGGTAGTCTTAGAAAATGAGGCTTCTCCTGGGATGAGGGCAGGTACATAGTGCAACTGTGTCTAGGGGAAAGGTTAATACTGTGATAAGCATTTTGTTTTAACAAATCTGTTGTCTAATGAGGAGAGGGAAGGACTGTCAGATGTTTCAGTCTGTTCTTTTCCTTTCGTCTATCTGTGAACTTCCCTCCTTGCAGGAATCTTACTACTCTCAAGCTACTTTCCTCCCCATTTCTTCCTTTATATCACAACTGCTGTACTTCAGAGGTAAAAGGTGTCTCCCTTGGCCTTTGTAGACCTCATGGGAATCACAAATTCATGAGGATCTCAGTGATTTAGCCTATATGTTACTAACATCTGGCCCTTCTGATGACTCTTCTAGTACCTTAAGACAGGCACATTTGAGGAGGAGTTGCTACTCTGGAAGCGTTTTCTGGATAATAAGGTCCTCCTGTCCTGCGGAAAAGCCTTTGAATGCAGCGAACCTGGATGGTTCCGCATCATCTTTGCTGACAAGACCCACCGGCTACAGTTAGGTGAGTAATGTTTTCTTCTCTTTTTTCTCTCACCAGAATTTCTGTAGCACTGTTCCCTTCTCTCCTTAATCCTAAGCCTATTACCATCCTCTTGTCTTCTCTGTTTGTCTTTCCTTTCTCCATCCTCCTGTTCTGGATCTGATGGATCTGGGGGACTTGTGGCTCAAATTAATCCACTAGTGTTTCTCCTCCTTATACCACTGCAGGTATGCAACGGATACGCAAGGTTTTGGAAGAGCGGGAGCAGGAGATACTGGCAGAGGAGAAGGAGCAGCCCTGTCAGTCAGATCAGGATGGCAAAGCAGATAGTACAGATGAAGTCATTTTTGTATCCCGCCACCAGGAGCCCACCTGTGCCAGCAGCTCCAACCTTGGTGACCTCATTGGCCTCCTGCAGCAACAGATGCGTTCTTCTGACTGGCTACAGAAAAATACAGCTGAGCAGTTTGCACAGGAAAAGCCAGAGATCTATGATGTGTTCAACAAACTGGTGGGGAAGCAGTAGGGGTCTGTGTTTCTTCAGGGGCGTTCCTGAGCAGTGACTGACCTTGGGCCCCTTACAGCTCAGCAGTGACTTCCAGCAAATAATATATTTTCTGTATAGCAAGAAAATTACTTTGTAAACTCCCTTCTTTTCCCCCTGTTTGAGATCTCTAATTTGTACTATATAGGTGTATTCCTTGGATTGGGATGAGGGTAGGGAACGGGGAGGTCTTGTTTGTCTGCTGCTCCTTGTCCTGCAGCATCATTGTATTTTGTATTTCATTTCTAATGAATATGCTCTTAACTCTCTTATAAGGTTCTGTGGTGTTATTTTTTGTTCTTCTTACTTTACACTTTCCAAGAAGACAGAGACTTGAGGTTGTTAAAATGTGTAAAGTTTCCCTTTTCCTAAATGATGATCAGATGTGACTATTTTGGGGACAGAAGATGACTGCTGTCACAAAGAGGTGTTTTGGGGAGAGAGAACCTGGTGTCAGCCTGAACTTAGCCCCAGCTAAGGGTAAATAAGCATGTGTATGGATTCATCTGCATGAGTGAGGCTGTTTGAGCCATGTTCATCTAGACTGAGTTATGTAAAGCTTTCTTTTTCAGTTTAAACCAGATCTAACCTCAGATCAGACAGTATCCAACACCCTCGGTTGTTGAAATGCCCATTTTTGGTTTTATATTCATGTAAATAAACAGCATCTGTTGGCCTCTTGGTAGAATGTCCACAAAAGAGCTGCGAACAGAGAGGCAGTTGAAAGCAAATGTTCTTTCTACAGCCTTCATATTCCTGAAAGTCCATCCTGTCTGGTTAACAGTGAGGTATATTGGCAGGACAGTGTAGAGAATGTTAGGTGTTCCTACCTACCTGTCACCTACCACAGGTTTCCAAGATGGCACCTTCCACCATTATCAGGATAATTAAGGCAATTTTTTATCTATGTATGTCAATTGGCAGGGTAATTTTTTGACTAAGCAGTATTCTTCCACCTCCTCTCCTTCCTTTCCCATTTTAAGACACTTTTCTGTATGCTGGTGATAGAGTATTTCAGTTGGAAAGCTTCTTTCACGGATACAAAACTCTTTACTGTCTGGTACTGTAAAACTTTAGGTATCTTAAAGAAATTGAAACTGTTTCTTCTGCATACAAATTAGTCCAGAGTTGAAGGAAATTGCCTGTGAAGATGGAATGGAAGTGCACCTTTCCCCTCCTGTAATTTGTTCTAATAGCAACCAAGTTTCATCTTGGTGGCATTATAGAATCTGTTTATATCATGAGCTAGAGAGGTGAAAGATAAAATTCCGGCTAAATTCTGTGCTGTCAAAACAGTTGAAATTTGCTGATCACAAATGAAGAACCATCTTCTTCTGATCAAGCTCCAATATGAAAAAATTCCTCAGTCCCACAAAGTCTTGCATCTTGCTTAGATTTGTAGCTCATTCAGAAGAAGGGTGTTATTGAGAATTAACAGGAAATTCAGATTAGTATCTGTTTTAATCTTTAAGAAAACCGGCTTTCATTTTATAGTTACTTTGTGAGGTGGGATATCAGTGAATGCTGGCTCACAGTTGTACCCTTATTGCTCTGTTAGTTTTGTTCTTGGGCATCACAGGTTTTGGTAGATGGGCAAGAGTGACAAAAGCATATGTCTGCATTATAAAGCAAATTACCCAGGCATAGGTAGCAAATAATTAATGTGATCACACTTTAATGTATGGACGGTGAAAAGTCTGAGCAGTGGCTGAGGAGATGATGCTGCATGTGGCTGCTGTTAGCAGCTGTAACCGGCTCCTCCCTCAGAAGCCAGCGATGAGGCAAGGTGATTGGTAAGATCAGTATCAGGGATAGTTATCAGCATCATATTTGCTTACTAGTTTGGCATTTGTCCATGTACAATATTTTAAAGGACATTCTTTATTGTAATTTACTTTCCATTTCATCTTAGGTGTCCACAAAGTAAGCTATAGTAGAAGACAAGTCTCCTTAATGGAATGGAAGGTGAGATGAACAGCCAAAATACAAATGGACTTCCTGATTTACCCCTTCATATTTAGTACCCCAAGGAGGATCTAAGCAACAAAAATTTAGGGAGCAAACTGTTTGAAATCAAGAACCAAGTAAGACAGTATAGGCATTAGTTGAAGTGGTATTTCAGGGAATTCTCACAACAAACTCAACCTGTTAATGACTCCTAATTTTCTTTTGTTGTTCTGATCACTCTTATGATTGGAGTATGTGAATATACAATAGTAACAATTAATATAATATTTTTCACTCATATATGTTTACTGCTCAGAAAGCGGATTTATTGTAGTGTCTCTGTGTGGATGCAGCTAGTCAAGCACACCTCTGTAGGAAAGAGGGTGTAATATGCTTTCAAAATCCTCACAGCTAGTATAGTATGGCCCACAGTTGCTTCCATCTGAGCTTGCTGGAACTCAAAATAACAGAACACACTAACACACACTTTGTTGCATGGAGTATTTTCCATGTTTTGTTCAGGTTTTTTCAACTGAGGAGTTCTCCACTAAGGAATTTTAGCTTGGTCACAGAAACCAAAAAATTAACTGGAAATGAGGCAAGAGAGAAATGTGGTGTCATGAGTCTGCTGTTGAAATAAGCAATGGGGTTTTTTTGACTGTACAAACCCCATAAATTTTGCAAATGGCCTTTACTGGTTGACAAGAATTGGTAAACATGTAGAAAGTCCTGTGCATATGTATATAGAAGCTAAATCAACTCTTATTTGCTCTGAGTACCCTGAGAGAAAAAACACAAGCTCTGCCTATACAACCTGTTTGTTCCTTCTGCTGCCTCCATGTTAGATGTTCTCTCTGCTTGCTGTATCTCATAATTCTCATTAATGGCCTTTTTTTTTTCTTCCTGTGTGTCAAATCTTTACAGGAAAAAAACCAGAGAAATGATTAAGGACTCTCCCATCCTGTCCCTGTCCCTGCATTTCTTTTGACCAGTTTGTCAAGCAATAGGCAATAGATCCTAAGCAAAATATCCGTAAGGGAAAATATTCACTAATAACAACCTGAACTAAAGAAGGGTAGCTGCTAAAATATACTGTATGATAGATTTTGTTGGGGGTTTTGTGTGTGTGTGTGGGGGGGGTTTGTTTGTTTGTTTGTTTTTGTGGGTTTTTGTTTGGTTGGTTTTGCATTTTTGTTGTTGTTTTGGGGTTTTGGTCTTTGTTTTTTGTTGGTTGGTTGGTTTGGGGGTTTTTTGTGTGTGTTTGTTTTTTTTTTTTTAATAAATGTTAATACCTTAATTGTGTCTTTCTGTCTTGGAACATCTAACAGATCGTACAGTGGAGCTGACTGCTGTGTGCTCCTCCCATCCCCATAGCGACCCAGTTTCTTAAAACCTGCCTTGGGGTCAAATTATCATTTATATTGACAATTTCTCTACAGTCTTCCTCCAGTTACTTGCTTACAGAATCCCTCTGTAGCTCTCATCCTGCTGGCAGAGTGGTGGTTTCATTTAATCAGAGAGATAGTGGCACACAGGGGTTGGATAAAAAAAACTCTCATGGATTAAGCTACGTGAGTCACACCCCTGAAAATTTCTGCATCTGAAGTATCAGGCTTGCAAAAGGATAAAACTGCATTTTGCACTTTTAATTATATATACAACTCTTTTTGTAATATTGGCTGATCTAACAGGAGATTATCTTGGCTATTTCTGAAGCAGTTCATACTGCACCATGAAGAACAGCGCAAGGCAACTTACAAGGATATATAGACAAAAAGATATGTGTTCCATCTGAGAAAATCAGAGTGGCAAGATACACTCCTTTTCCATTCCAATTAATGCTTTATTTATTACCGACTTACATAAAACATTGTCAACTGACTGACAACAAGATCCTAGATTATCTGCAGCCAACAAATGTCCCAAAGAGTGTGAGATGGTTATAAATACTCCACTTTTTGTCCTCAGTTTGCCTGGATTGGTTATTTTTAGCAAATAGCCAGTCGACCTTATCAAAATGAAGAATCAAAAATAGTCTGGAAAAACACTGCAAGGAAAGGCTATTTTTAGCTCTCTGTCTATTCCCTGCTGCTATCCAGCAAGGTCTGATGGCACAGCTCATGCAAGAGTGCTTAGTTATTCTAGGCGAATGCTTGTCGTGACCTGTCCTTTCCCTGGATACCTCACTGCAGAAAGAGTTCAATTGATTAAAGATTAATGCATCTGCAGACTGTGACAGCTGAAAGCTTTAGGGAGGGGGAACCTACACTGACAGAGTGTTTCTACCTGTGCCTTTGTGCTACGTTATAGTTTCTTTGAAGGGAACTCTTGCCTAACTGAATCTTCCTGTGTCTCACATCCTTCAGTGGTTGCTATTGCAGCAGATCTCCGAAGTATATTCAGCTTTTTCCTTTCAATTCAGGAAGGCAATAGAGGAAGTAGAGTTACAGACATAAGGTAGATCACTGTTTTGACCAGTGCCATCCATCACAAAGGAGCAGCATTGGAAGTGTATGATGGTCTGGATCAATAGATAGAACCATGCAATTGGCTGCTAGCTATTGATCAGATTAGTTAAAAACTCTACTGCTATAAATGAGGGTATCATTTGGTTGTAAGACTTAAACTGGAACAGCGAACCAAGGCTGTTGCAATATTCTGCTTTTTTTATAATAGAAACTCATTTAGTTCAGTACCTTATATATTGGCAGTAACCATTACCAAATTTTTCAGAGGAATAAATTGAGCTATGAGTTTTTAGTTATGCTATGCCATATGCTGAAAATAAGGTTGAAAAGATGTCCTCGATCCATTAGTTTTCCCCTTCATATTTGCCTTCTAAAATTATCTCCTTTTATTATAAAGGTGTTTTCAGAATGTGCTGCTTTCATCACTGACTGCATAAGGTGCACCATAATCTCACATGCAGCTACTTCATACGTGGAGACACAATAACTAACAGAAGGTTCTCTGAACATTTCTTTCTCTTCTGTGTACTGATCATCCCAGCAGAAAACACAGGATGCTGTATGTGACAGCAGGCTAATGTATGGTGTGATGGTAAAGCCCTTAAAAACAAATTCCAAATGACCCCCAAAGAACCATATAAGACAGGACATAAAAGGGCAAAGCAAAGAGAGGTAAAATATCTGATTTCTCCTGTGCATTTATAAAAATTGATAGCCTGTTATCCAGATGCTGATGAATATTTTTACAAGCTATAAATGGCAACCTGGAGTCTAAAAATAGTCTGTGCTGCAGACTTGTCTGGCTTAGCTACATCACTAGAATATAAACAGGCTCCCTGATGTGGTTTCAGGGAAAT